GGCACAGCAGATGTCTATGCTACCTCAGGTCACCCTATTTGTGGGCATGTTGTGTACCTGTGCTGATTCACATGACATTGCTGATGCAGGATGTGGGCAGACGATGACGTGCCATTAGACTCACTTGTAACTGGAGGTTCCTGGAGACGTAGATTGCTCTTAGTTGTGATGCATTTCAATGTTGTTGGTTCAGGTTCTGGCAGAAACCAACTTGGTTTAGTACAGTTACAACTATATGGTTAAAACAGTCTAGAATTGCAAGCATCTGGGAAGCAAATGAAATCATGTTCTGTGGTGAGTGTGTACTGCTTTGCCATGTTCATCATTGAATATTGCATATTAAAGCCAGGGTTTCCACGCAGTATGGAAAAGTATGGAATATGATTTTGGTGTTTTACAAGTCTGTATAAGTATGAAAAAACTAAAGAAATACTTTGGTATTTCCAGACTGATGCAACAAATTGGCCTACAATCTAGTCTAAAAATAATTGAATTTACTTATTAATGTTTTTGATGAAATCACCAGTGTGAACTGGTTGGCAGCGCCAGAATCTTCACAGTGTGCACTGAAGAACAACGTCCAAAATAAAGGAGTGGGGTTAGTCTGTGAGGTGCGCACTTGATTAATTTCCAGCAAAAAATATTGATGCAGACTAGGTTGCAATTTACAACATTCACAATGGGGAAATATTTAGATGCTTGGCTTGCCAGTCCTATATTTTGTATTTGTTTGGCTAAAGATCCTAAGTGTGAATGGAAAACAAAATACAAAATTCAAATATGAATTGTCAGCCACGTGGTGGGCAGAAGCTTTGCTGCCTGTTCATGGCCAAGCAGGGCATCAACTTAGATAACCACTGTTGCCAACCCCCAAATCTCCACCCCCAAAGTCTGAAAGAGTATGGAATTTTTAAATAAGTGTTGAAAAACTAATAAACATTCTGGCTCATAGAAATCTTTCTCAGACATTATGGAACCCCTGCTACAACAGTAAGAGTGAGAGGCTAAGCTTCTGAGCAGTCACTCTTGTAAGAGTAGCAGAAGCAGTCCCTCTCAGCCTGCAGTCCGCTGACCTGGCATTTTCATAATTTTTTTCAGAGCCCTCCTTCTTTGTGTTTGCCTCATCCCGGACGCCCAGCGTGACATACGGTGACTCATTTGACCTACAATGCATTGTGAAGCCACAGCACGATCCACAGATGCCAACTGCTGTCACCTGGCGCTTCCAGCCACAGCTGGATGGACTGCCTGATGCTGCCTTCCGTGACCTGATGACGTTTTCGCATGATGGCATGATCCGGTGGGGTGATGTGGCACCTGGCCCAGGAACCAGAATCACTGTGGAACATGCCACCAGCAGCAGTAACTTCCGCCTGAGCGTAAACCGGGCCGGCCCCAGGGAGGCAGGCACCTATCTGTGTTCTGCACAGCTATGGAGGAAGAATTACAACCACAGCTGGAGCATGGTGACTGAGAGGAACTCCAACCTCCTGGGAATCAATGTGTTGAAGCCAGGTGAGTGTGATCACTATCTGCTGAGGAAGGTGCAGGTCTATGCCTATGTCTTCAGGGAGGAGAGCAGCCAGCACTCTCACCATGAAGTTCTCTTAAAAATCGCTCAATTTTCAGTCTTAATTACTCTGTTGTTAGCCTTTAATTTGACTGATCTCAAATATCAATTTCGCAGATGATGTACAATATATGCGTTGACAAAAGTTTCAAACACAGCAGCAGCACTATTATTGTGGTAGTTTAACCAGATATCTGTTAAAGCTGAAAGATTTGCAATTTGCAACATGCATGCAAAAGAAGTTGCTTGTGGAGAGTAATCTGCTAAAGCATTCTGCACCTCGAGCCTCATTAGACATTTGTGTCTTCACCGAGAGGAGTATGACATATATGAGCACCTGAGGTTACCTTATTGTTCTCCGTATAGGTGTGGAGAGTGAGTGGTTATTCAGTACAGGTGTGCAAATTTTTGAGAAGAGGAACTGACTCTCCAAAAATGCAAAGATGCTGATATTTAAAAAAAATATAAACATCTTAGTTTCTTGGAAAACATAGGCCTGTGACCAAAAGCTAAATTTAGACCTTTTTTGTAGCAATTGTCTAATGTCTTTCTGTTAAACATTGAAAACGTTTATTTTAACTGATTTGGGATGCATTCTTAAAGGAAGCCTCTTAATTTTTATTTATATTATCATATGTATATGTATGTGTTTTGTGACAATATTAAATGAACACATGTCATCTAATCAATTATATAAATTATAATTTAAATCGTCATTTGAATATTCAAATGTCAATATAAGTTATACCAGCAACCATTACAATTATCTGTCAAAGTTGCCCATCAAACTCAGTGGCAGGCTCTAAACAAAACTAACATAGGATTCAATACACAGCAATCTAAGTCACAACATATCAATCTCGCCTACTTGATTGAATTCTCATTCATAACCTGTTTTTTGTCTCTTCTGTCTTGGGGGTGTATTCCATCTTAACTCCCCAAAATCTTTAATAAGCTTTCCTAACAGGTAAGCTGTCCTAGATTTCACCAGCCACCAGATAATGTTAAACTTATTTAATCTGTATGGCTGCTCTTTGATTACTTTCACATAACCAATAAAATGTATGAAGCCCCACTCATGACGTAGTGATAAACATATGTATATTGTGGCCATGTTTTAATATATTGTGCTAATGAATTACAGTAGTCCCTCATATCCACGGTTTTGGTAACTGTGGTTTTAGTTATCTGCGGTGTACCTCGGTCCAAAAAAAAAAAAACAGTTAAACACGTAACAGTATCTTTTTAAACATGAATTACATTGCTCCATTATCGCTTGATAGATTTTTTTCATTGCTCTATCATTTCTTCAGAATTAGGCTAAAATGTCAGAACTCCTTTCATTCCAGAGAATACAGGACTGTATAAGAATGTACAATGTACTTTGATTACTGTATTTAATGTTGGTAATGTCTTATTATGCATAATTTATCAATTAAACTGTACCATTTGTATGTACACGAAAATTATGCTGTATATGGGGTCTGCAGATTGTTCACTGTTTTGACTATCAGCGGTAGGTATTGGATTGTATCACTCATGGATATGATGAGACTGCTGTAATAAAATGTGGCCACAATATATAGAATTTGAATCATTATTTTATGAGTGGGAATATGTAGCTATCCTAAATTATATGTTAGGAAGTTTCTATAATACTTAGGGTAGGAACACTGACTTAGCAAGTGTTCAAATGGATAAATCATGGTAAAGGGCTTAAACCTTATCGATGAGATCCGCCCGGAGTTCCTTAAGGCTCTGGATGCTGTGGGGCTGTCCTGGTTGACACGCATCTGCAGCATCGCGTGGACATCGGGGGCAGTGCCTCTGGACTGGCAGACCGGGGTGGTGGTCCCCCTCTTTAAGAAGGGGACCAGAGGGTGTGCTCCAACTATAGGGGGATCACACTCCTCAGCCTCCCTGGTAAGGTCTGTTCAGGAGTTCTGCAGAGGAGGGTCCGCCGGATTGTCGAACCTCGGATTCAGGAGGAACAATGTGGTTTTCGCCCCGGTCATGGAACAGTGGACCAGCTCTAAACTCTCTGCAGGGTTCTGGAGGGTTCATGGGAGTTTTGTGGACTTGGAGAAGGCATTCGACCGTGTCCTTCGGGGAGTCCTGTGGGGGGTGCTCGGGGAGTATGGGGTGCCGGGCTTCCTTTTAAGGGCTGTTCGGTCCCTGTATGACCGGTGCCAGAGCCTGGTCCGCAGGGGCGGCAATAAGTCGGACTTGTTTCCGGTGAGGGTTGGACTCCGTCAGGGCTGCCCTTTGTCACCGATTCTGTTCATAGTTTTTATGGACAGAATTTCTAGGTGCAGCCAGGGCGTTGAGGGTGTCCGGTTTTGGTGACCTCAGGATTAGATCTCTGCTTTTTGCAGATGATGTGGTTCTGTTGGCCTCATCGGACCGTGACCTTCAGCTCTCGCTGGGACAGTTCGCAGACGAGTGTTAAGCGGCTGGGATGAGAATCAGCACCTCCAAATCCGAGACCATGGTCCTCAGCCGGAAAAGGGTAGAATGCTCTCTCCGGGTCGGGGATGGGGTCCTCCCCCAAGTGGAGGAGTTTAAGTATCTTGGGGTCTTGTTCACGAGTGAGGGAAGGATGGAGCGGGAGATCGACAGGTGGATCGGTGTGGCGTCCGCAGTGATGCGGGCGCTGCATCGGTCTGTCATGGCAAAGAAGGAGCTGAGCCAAAAGGCAAAGCTCTCGATTTACCAGTCGATCTACGTTCCTACATCTCCTGCATTGAGAGGAGCCAGATGAGATGGCTCGGGCATCTGATTAGGATGCCTCCTGGACGCCTCCCTGGTGAGGTGTTCCGGGCATGTCCCACTGGGAGGAGGCCCTGGGGAAGACCCAGGACACGCTGGAGGTACTATGTCTCTCGGCTGGCCTGGGAACGCCTCGGGATTCCCCCGGAGGAGCTGGATGAAGTGGCTGGGGAGAGGGAAGTCTGGGTTTCCATGCTGAGACTGCTGCCCCCGCGACCCAACCTCGTATAAGCGGGAGATAATGGATGGATGGATGTTTGCATTTTTGGATAAAACACATGGCCAGAATAATTGTTAATGAGACATTATATATCCATATGTATCTCATCCGCACCAGTGAAAAGTTTTTGCACACACTGAGATTTTCTACATTTGCTTGTCAGTCACTTAACATTTACTTAAAATACACTCAATATTCTTCGCTAACAAATACATTTACAGTGTGTTCACCATTTCATTACCTTTATTTGCAAGAAAATTTCTTATCTTTGATTCATAAAAGAAACCTACTCTAGCAGTTATAACAGCAGAGAAAATTCAGGTGTTATTTTGTCCCTTTCTTCCTGCAAACACGTATTAAGGTGTGCAACAGCATGGGGTTCGTCTTTGGTCCGGAGAACACTGTGTCCATTTCTTCCAAAAAACATCTGGAATACTGATTCATCTGACCACAATACATGTTTCCACTGTGTGATTGTACACAGTGTGTAAAATACAACAGTAAAATGATGACTATGAATGGATTAACACAAGGGGTCACAGACTGTCTTCATAGAATCGCTGGTTTTGCGAACTGCTGATAGACCCACAGTTACTTGACCTATTCCACAGAGTGTTCAGGGGGACAGCCAGGACAGGACAGTCACTGGTCAGCAGCCTATTTTAAGGAGGGTTCTTGTTATGCTCCTAATTAGCTAGTGAATATTCAATGCCAATCATAGCTGCTGTAGGTAGGCTGTTAGGTTTATACTGTAACAACATGATTAGCAAACTGCAATGGCTGCAATTTAGGATATGTATTATACAGTATGTTTGACCCAGGGTTTATAACAGTCATGAGAACAGTTTTACAAATTCATACCATCCTCTTTGTGTGACAGCCATTCTCACCAATCAGAAGTACCATGCTTCTTACGTGCCAGTCATGCTCACCAATAGGCCTGTCACAATTATTACATAATCGCCTGAACTGAACGCGATTATTTTTTGCATAATCGTTAGAATCGTCTCCATTCATCTGTGTAAAAATAGCTGGATGAGACACTATTTCCACATTGTTTTCTACCGTGTAATGTTTGGCTGGCGCTCATTTAATGACATCATCTCATTACATTTCTGAACTGATCCACGCCACCTGTCCTTTTTGTACCTCACACATCTGCGCAGACATAGCATTAGAGAATGTAGTTGGAAGTTGAGAGGGAAATTCAGCTGCGCGAACTGGAGTTGAGTCCAGAGATGGGAGGGGAACTGCGATCCTCATTTTCAGTCAGGAAAAATATTGCCCTGGTGCTGAGTTTTAGCAAAACTGAACAGTTAATTTAGAATTTTCAAGCGTACTGCTATTTTGTTGAATTAGCCAAAAGAGTTGTGGACATTGCTGCAGTGTAACTTGGTTGGGAAGGTGAGAGAGGTATGTTCTGCTCTTAGCAATGGCATGGATTATGATGTTGTGAAGAGTACAATTTTACGTACCTATGAGCTTCTGTCGACTTCAGAGGGTTGCTATGTCGAGTTTGCCAGGGAGAAAGGCCTCTTATTTGATATGTGGGTTGCAGGTACTGAAGTGTATGATATGGAATCTTTAAAAGAACTTATTTTACCGGAGGAATTTAAGAACTGCGTGTCCGAAAGAGTAGCGGTGTATTTAAATGAATGTAAGGTCTTTCAGCAAGCTGCAGTTCTGGCCGATGAGTTTAATAAAAGCGTCGCAAATAACCTTAACTTCATGCTGAAAAGGTCTGGGTGGGTACATCATCCAAAATGGAAGGAAACGCTCTTATTAATTTCACCACATCCTGATGCTGCTGAGGTGATAAATGACCAACCAAAGAAGAATCTTTTGAATTGAGCTAAGATAACAGCTCAGAGTTCAGTAACCAGGTGCCATCTAAAGAATTTGAGTGAGGGACTAGCCCATGTTCTTCCTCCACAACAGAGCAGGGTGGGTTGGCTATGGAGGTTAAAGTTACTTCCGCCCTACCACCAGTAAGGGGAACTTAGAGGATTTGTCACTAGACCCTACTATTGGACTTTCATAAAATGGTTTCAACATATTGATGTGACACACCCTACATTTACGTCTACGATCTGGGGTATTGATTACATAACCCAAGTTTTGCGTTAACTGCCTTCTTGTGTCCCTCGGTCCAGTTTGTTTGGTCTTCTGACTGTCGAAAGGCATTTGACCACATTAAGGCATTATTACTGTATGTACTGCCCCTGCCCTTGCTGCTCCTGACTGGTCCAAACCTTTTAACTTAGAGGTTGATGCTAGTGGAGTTTTGCTGGGGCTGTTTTGCTGCAGGAGAACGTGGATGGCGTAGATCACCCTGTGTGCTACTTTTCTCGGAAATTCAACAAACACCAAGTGAGGTACTCCACTATAGAAAGAGAAACGCTGGCATTGTTAATGTCACAGTATTTCGATGTGCTTGTGGGTTCCAGTTCTTCACCCTTAGTCATCTATACTGACCATAACCCACTAGTGTTTCTTTCCCGGATGTACAACCAGAACCAATGACTCATGACAATCACGAGAACCTTCAAGACTACAACTGGCCACATCATAAAAGGAGGGCAGAAAATGTCATTGCTGATTCTCTCTCTAGAATTTGACAATGTTGTTCAACATACAAAAAGTTGCTCTCTTTTGGGGGTGGGCGTGTTACTTGCGGAGCCTGTAGCTGCGCTTGTGTGTGTGTGTGTGTGTGTGACTGTGTCTGCATGCACTGTGCGTGCACACTTCAGTTGTTTTTGTTAAAAGGGACAGAACTCAATTCTCGAGCAGCCAATCATGTCCAGCTCACTTCTGTCAGCCAATCGTGACATTCATCTGTTGACATCATGCATTTCCATTGGCCAATCATCGCTCTGGAGAGGAGGAGCTGCCATCATAAATCTTGCCCGGGGACACTTGGAAGAGGCTGTTTTTAACTGCTGCCTGCAGTTTTTACACTCACATTTGTCACAGCTCGCTCTGCTTTGGAGTTTTGGTTCAGAGGACTGGACAGGGAAGCAGAGGTGCGCCTATACATTCCACCATGTATGTTCCCTGTGTTGAGACACCCTAGGACACAAACTCCTGTATTTTGTGTTTTGATAGGTAAGGTTAGAATAGATAGATGTTGTTTTGTTTAGTTTATTTTCTAGTTAGATAAATTACTGAGCCCTGTTAGGGAAGTTGTTTCGTTCTATTTTGTTCTTTCCTTTTGCGCTGTCCCCAGTCCAGACCTCCTCTCCTTTGTCTTGTGGGTTTTGTGTTTAGTTAATGTCCTGCATTGTTCCCTTTGTTGTCCTTTGCCAACTGGTTGTGTATTTATGGTGAAATAAATTTCCATTCTTTTACTCCCTGGGTGTATGTGTGAGTGTTTGTGGATTATCTGTTTGAGTTGCTACTCTGCTGTCCAAAAAATAAATTATATTGATCCCCCTCCATCCCTAGACAATCGTTAATCACAATTATTTGTAGGACAATTAACCGTCAACTAAAATTTCATGATCGTGACAGCCCTACTCACCAATCAGAAGTGGCACAAGGCGATTGTGTATACGTCCACAAACAACAAACTTGTGAAACCCAAGGGAAACATTACATTCGCGGTTCAATTAAATATCAGTTCTGCTGTTGAGCTATAAGTGAATTACCTACCTGTTTCATGGTCAGTGATTGTTTTGACAAAGGTCATATTATTTATGGAGTGATTATTATGAC